ATTATAATTTATATTAAAAAAACATTCTAATCTCATAAAAAAGATAAAAAAAACAAATGACGTGCATACACCAACGTTGTAATGGATAAAACATGGAATAATATAACATACGAATACCGAGTACCTACTATAAAAACATGAAAAACATTATAATCTTTTTTTAGTCAGTGTAATATAAATAACCCAACATAAGAATTTAAAATTGCATTAAATGCAATGATGAATGTTTGTCTTGCAATAGATTTATTAAATATGACAGTTGCTATTTACCATAAAATTATAATGCATTTTCATATACTTTATAGCCGGACATCCCATTAGATAAGTATGTAGTTAAGTCTATAGCTATAATATAGGTATATAATATACTAGATCATTGTTAGTTCATTTTTCTTTCCATTTTTTTTATGCCAACTATTAAATATTTTATACTTAAATTTGGATAATTAGTTTCAAAATATGATTTACTTATATTGCTGTTTAAAAAAAAATAATAATTATAGGTAGGTACTTTGATATAAAATAGTCAGTGATTTTTTCATGTTCCATTTTTTTATATTTTAAGGAACATTAAAAGCAAACTTTTATTTTTAACGGCTTCCGGATACTTTTTGGAACACTATAATTTCAAAAGTTGGTGTATAATTTTAATAATTTTGTGTTATCTTGTCATCTAGATAGTAAATTGCAAAAATATTATTTTTTCTTAATTCAATAAAAAGAACTCTATAAAAAAAAATTAAAAACAGTGGTTGTCTTTTTTTTATTTTTATAGGCCCGCATTTATATAATTTTATACTTATCGATTATTATACACTGCTGTACTACAGTTTTTCGTATACAACTGAAATAATGAAATCAACTTTTAATTAAATTTATGTTAGCGGAAATAGGGTAATAAAAAATTCTCTATCATATATAAAAAAGAGGCAACATTGCTTAACGATTCCTATTATTCTCGGTCCCAGAAACTATTTAATTTACGTAAACGCTTTTCTTCTTCATATTTACTAGTTAAGTTGTTTTTTAAAATACATTTTAAATTCAATATTAACCTTAGCAATTCAGTTTTTTACATAAATAAAAAAAAATATTTATTTCTAAATTGTACACTACGGTGTACCTATACCAAAAAATAACAATAATGTAAAATATTATGTATATTAATGGGAAACATAACACGTTCAACATTTTAAAATGTAGGTACATTGCACATTGTGTTAATTTTGACTTAATTTGAAAACTAGACAACAGAAACTATTTATGTCAGAAGACAGTCTAAACGACCATGGATAATCAATAATTAAGTATATCGAAATAAAATATTTAATCTTAAAGTATTTTTATGTTTAATAATTTTACAATTAATAAGGTTATATTTATTATTTTTACGTACATAATCTTAACTTATAGTACCTATATTTTGTCTTTAATTTCATTAGCTGAAGATTTTTAATATTTAATATTTATATAAGTATCCATATGGCTTTAATGCTATATATACACATCCTATTTTAATTATAAAATTATTCATCTCTACTTTATCTCGAAATATATATATTTTTAAACATTTAGTATAATCAGTATACTGGAATAGCCACCCATTTTAATGGCAATAGTTAACCAGATAGAATTTCATTAATATTTAAATAATATTTATCTCAATAAATGTTAATCTCAAATTGTATTATGGGTATTATATGAGTAGGTACCTACTGGATTTGCTGTAAGAAAATCAGAAACTGTTACCTAGTTAAAAAGAGAATCTTTTAAATATGTATAGTATTATAATTACGTAATAATTAAAAAATATACTACCCTATAATACTATAAGTACTATACTTTACTATCTGTAAAAATGTTTTTGTTTATATATTTCAATAATCGTATTTTCTATATAATATACCTATTACCTAATTATATTACATTATAATTTATAATATATAGGTACCCATGTATACATTATACATTTTTATATATGTATTTTATATACTGCTGAACAGTAAACAATAATAGTCTACCTACAATCATTATTCATTACAACCTCAAGTATTATATTACCCATGCGAGTACCGAGTACTTCAAACTATACTAAGATACACATTTATAAACATATTCATACATTTGTGCATACCTACCTGTAGGTATGATTTTGAATAGAGTATAATATGTAAATGAGGCTAAGTATTAAATATTTTATACTTGAATGTATAGTATTATGACTGTCGCCAACACACACATGTATATGTCATTAACATTAATCATCAAAGGCAGTACAGTGTAGTGTGTACACCCATTATATAGTCCATAAGCACTTAAGTTAATGCATATAAGCAAATTGTTTGAAATTTAGATTTACCTATTTAATATTTTGCTATAGGTATATTTTGTATTTAATAAATAATAATGGTTTTATTTTCGGTTTAATAGAAACCTGCACCAGTTGCGGATCTAGAGGTGGGGGGGGGGCAAAGGGGCATTCCACCACCAAATCGCCGTAGTTTTCCTTTGTTTTAAACTGTGTTTAGCCGATTTTGGAACTTTTTGTACTTTTGCCTCTCCATGACCCCCCTTCAAATAAGGCCCTGGATCCGCCACTGACCTGCAGCACAGGGTAACGTTATTAAAATAAACTTAAAAGTCGATAAAGAATACGCGTTAAAAAATAAAACTGCTGTACGGCGTGTACCAACGCCGAAGAAGATAGTATTATTATGATAGTATATTGTATATAAAAGCATTCGAGAGTTAATCATTCTAATATTCTATTCAGACATTCAGTCACAGTTTCTCTGCTTTATTGTCCGAATAAGCGTTTTCTACTATAATAAAATTATTAATTCTTTATCTTCTTACCTCGTGCGCTATCTTGTATTCTTATAATACCATGATGATTTGTTATCGGAAAAAGAATTCTCCTTTCTACGCTTGGACCTTTTGGTCCTTTACACAAGGGTACTACCATAGACAAGTATATAAAGTACTACTGTACTACTACATCCTGAATGAAGGGCTCCGGAGTCCAGAATCCCTGTATGAATCGTCAGACACAGTACAGTAAACTGTAGCAGGGCATCAATCTCCTCCTAGGTCCTATAGTCTATAGTCCTGCTTAGAGAGCCTAGATAATATTATTATTATTATTATCTTATTATCTAGGCTCTCTAGTCTTGCTATTATTAATTGTGATAATACAATATAGAGCCATAGAGATAGTCATAGTTTACAGGGATTGTTACGCTTCACAATGTAGCTAGCTAAAATCCTAATGTTTGAGCATAAATCATTTTAAATTTCTCATCTGAGATCTGACTCTCATATACATCAGTCATCAAGGGATCATAATAGGTCCCGTGCACCGGAGTGTCCGGAGTGGAGTACGATTTGAAAATCAATGATTAACTTTACTATAACGGTCAACGTCATCCGAGTCGATAAAATAAATTACAATTTACAATATAAATAATATAATATTTAAATGATTTTAATGTATAGGTAAGATATAAATATTATATAACACATAACACGGTACATACGATGTACCCGAAAACATATCATTGACAATCAACATTTTATTACCTAGATAGGCTCTACAGAACGAGGATAAAATATGACCACACCTCGATACATTCAGTGGTCTGTGGTGGTGAGTATATATATATATAATAGTGACTAAGGGACTAGGTTATTGGTAGGGAAGGGTAAACCTTCGTTATACAAACATGAACATTGAACATTTTAAACCGAAGTTATATACATGTTTATTGATATGAAGTTTTCCAGGCGCGCGTATGGACGGACGGCCGCCAACCCAGGTCAACAAGTGTCAAAGGTGGTATCTATTTTTGTTTTTTTTTTTTTTCATTTAATTTCTTTGTTGGTATTTGGTGTGGCGGCGACTACCCGTCGCACCGTGTTTTTATTATTAATAATATTATATCGTCTGTGAAAGGGACGAGGGCGCGTCGAGAAAGCCGTGAGAAAACACATGCGTCGTCGTCGCCAGATCGTACCATGATGTATGTTTATTAGTTGCAGTCGTTTTGTAAATAATTAAAATATTATTTTACCCGTTGCTGGACGTGGAAAAAAATCACGTCCGAGTCAATTTCGACGCGAAAATCGGATCGATCAAAAGTAAAAGGCCGTTAAAATATTATTATCGTGTAAAACGCCGTGTAAGACTCGGTAGGTAACATTTTTTTAGCGGCAATTGTAATAATAATAATAATAATATATTATATCCCTGCGATAGAACAACACTGTACGGCTCTACGGCGGCAGACTCGTACCGGTGGTGGTGGCGGCGGCGGCAACGGCGTCGATGGAAAGGGCGTGGCGGCGCGGTGCGGCGGCCGCACGTTAGTCAAAAGTGGTTCGCGGTGCGCGTGCGTGCCGGGTTAGCGTCACTCTTGACCAACGCGATACCCGGCTGCACCGACCCGTGCTCCGGCCGCCGCCGCCGCTTGTCATTCGTGCATTCGAAGTCGCGTCCTTTTCCTGCCGGTACGTGTTTACTTGATTTCTGTTGTATTTCGTTCGTATTATTTTTTTTTTTTTACCACATATTTTAACCACCCCGACGTCCGTTTGCGGACAGCACACCGAGTAACTAGAGACGCGCGTTCCATTAACGTTTTATATTTTTCCGCATTAGTTGCACTATTTTGTATTGTCGCGCGCGGCTCTCCTCTCGATACGCACGTCTTTTAGTTCTCTCGTGTGCTTGTATGTGTGTGTGTGTGTTTGCGTGTTTGCATATGTGTGTGTGAGAGTGTGTGTGTGTGTGTGTGTAGAAACGCCTTTGAACGGAATAATAATAAAATATATAATTGTATAATCTCGTCGTTTGTTTTCTGTGTAGAGTTTAACTGTCGTTGCCGCTGCGCATAGAGAGCAGCGCGTGTACACAGCCCGCCAACCCCTCGTAGCAGACCGTAGCGCCTCGCAAACCAGTCACTATCACTATCGCACTACTACACGACACAAGTACCAGCAAAATGACTACGGCGACTACGGAAGAGACAAAGAATGTCCCGCAGGACGTCAAAGAACCGGCAAAGGACGGCGCCGACACCGTAGCCGAGACCAACAACAAACCGACGGAGAACAACGACAAGAAACCGGCGGTGGCGGAGAAGGACGACAAGGTAGCGACGCCCGCCGCTCCTGTCGAACCACCGCAGCCGAAGTTCACCGTGAAGAAGCAGAACTTCGAAAAGGACGTCGTGTACCTGTATCAGTTCTCGCGCACTCCCGTCATCCCGTCCATGTCACCGTACTGCCTCAAGGTGGAGACATGGCTCAGGCTGGCTGGACTCAAATACGAGGCAAGTACCCGCTACACCTACCTGTTAATTATATTGTGCACTAGCCATATTCTATGCCTAGGTGATACCATTCGCCCCCCTAAGTGTACCTAGCGCCCCCGGGGGAAGGTACCTACCCCAGTGGTTAGGTGATATTTTTCTTTTGTGATCATTACCCTTGTCCGTAGCAAGTCCATAACATTAACTATTTCACCCGAAAGTTACTGATTGTTGACGACTGACGGGTCGTCCACCATTTAATTTGTTAAGTCTACTTAAATGATTTGAATGCACGTATACTTGGTAACCGATGTATACGTTTTCTCTAAATTCTATACCAAATTATCAAAAATTTCTGAAAATTTGTCCCAAAAAGTTGTATTGAGTTGTTGCCTTGTAAAATGTAGTATTTTTATGGTTCAACCTAAAACTAATATTCATATTTTCATGATATGCCTACCAAAATAATGCCTGATAGGAACAGTACCCAAAACGATGAATGTTAAAACATATTGATTTACGTTTAACTTATTTGTTAGGTGTTATTCGTTTTTGAAGCAAATATAGATATGTTTTACAGTACAGTATTGGGTAGATAATAAATAATATAATATTGTATTATAATGATACAGTTATTTACTATACAATATTAAATGATTGAGTCAATAGTCATATCCTGTGTATGGAATCAAATATTAATGATAATTGATTCTTTAACTTTATAAATAGTTTATTTGTATGTGATTTATTTATGAAAGATTCATTTGTCTATCATACTTTGTATTCTAATTATTTTTAATTTTAGAGAGCCATCTATAAAAAAACTGTCAAATGTTCATCAGAAATTCTAACTAAAATTATATTGCATAGGCACTTAAGTATGTAAACCGTCTAGTTTTTTGGTAGAACTAATTAAACATGAACTAGATAAAGAGAAAAAAGTCTCTAATTGGTAGGAAATTGAACTATCACCTTTCGATGATAAAAATAATGATAAAAGTAGAACAGCCATGTTTGACACGTTACACGGATCTAATAATCTGGTTGAAAAGTAAGATAGAACAAATTGATTTTATAAAGTGATACATCATGTTATTAATTATTAATGGTTATGCATAGCAAGCATAACTTACCATTGACTGTTATATTTGCATTAATAGATATCTTAACTTAAACCCAATGTTTGTATCAGACAAAATAACTACTGCTATCTAAATTATACGCCTGCTTTATGATTTGTTAATAGGTTATTGTATTTTACATACCTATTATTTTACTTAACTTATTCAACTGATGGGCACTTGACTTTTAAATTTAATCACATCTAAATAATACATTTTAAATAGGTATATTGTAAAATGTTGTGGTATAGATTTCAAAATTTGATGAATTTATTATTTTTATCTCTATAATTCAAATTTATTTATTGGTTCAAAACAATTAAAAATAGATTACCTATATATATTTTAATTACACATTCCCATAAAAAGTTTGTAGTTTTTTTAAATTGACTATAATTTGCTTTTAATGGTTAATACTTTTATAGTATTAATGTCTAATGAAAACTTCTGGACATTTTTTATTAATTTATATTCAAAATGTATTTAATACTGCTTACTGAAGATAACTAAAGATCATTAAAAGTAATTGTTGATAATACCAACTTATTTTAATATTTAATTAGAAAACGTCGTGCTCCCATATTGTGTTTTAATAGTTTAATACATATAATATAATACCTATCACAATATAATATTATTTTAATCAACGTGAGACATTCATACTCGTAGATCGTTAAACTGTCTTTATACAAAAATGCATGGGAACTACAATATTCTCCACATGTGCACATGGTTGCACGTGTTTTTTTCCAAGTTAAAACAATTTGACATGTGCATGATGTATGTTATTCTTAATACTATGTTTTTTAATATTATTGTTATTGAAAATAACAATTTTGTTTGGTGTCCTGAATTTAAAATTGTATGTAACAATAAACAATCTAATATAGATATATTGACCTGTTATTTGTGCTGTGTACTCATGTAAAACTTATATTATAGCTAGAATAGGTATTTAAAATTCATTGACAGGAAAATGTTTATCAATTTGTTTTTGACCTTTCGGCGTTCATTGCACGATTATAAATGTTAAAATGCAAGTGTTTCGTAAATCAACTAGTGAGTGCTATTTTTCTATGGTCGCCGTTACAATATAATATTTATTATAAATTATGATAAACTATTTTTATTAATTTATATTTAATACGTACACGGTGCACCAAACCCCCCATAGGCATTTACCAGCCGGCCATTATATTGTCAAAGATTTATTATTAGCGTTATTTAGTATTTATGTTGGGAAGGACGTTACTGAGAACTTTTTCACTAGTTTTATCTTTTACGATAGTTGAAATTCCTAACGCCCAATAAAAACCGCCGCTCGCTATAATTGTTCGATATTGGTTTGTGATAAAACTTGTAACGGCTGGGAATAAATACGGGTGGCTTGCTAAGTAATTAAAATGTATTATAAATAATTTCCTTGTCCAAATTGGAGTTGTTCAATTGGTAATCCAATACTCGATAAAATAATAATAATAAATATTATATACTGGGTAGTGGATTTCTGTCAATAAGTTTATAATTTGTACTTCCAATATTGGCGGCGGAGAAAAAATATATTATATTATGAAAACTGTTATCGTGGGTTTTCCTATTTTAAAGAGAATAAAATAAGTCGATTGTACAAATATTTATTAACTTATATTTATCATGTATTACACGCTTTCACTGTAAGTACTGGAAACGTTTTAACAAGTAGAAATCCGGTGAAATCACTACGGCGTGTTACTACAATAGTCATTTTCCTTGGAGAATCCCGTCTTGTGTAGAAGGAACGGGAAATCAAATTTTATTACCACCAAAAAATCTGTTGCGTCATCGCAATAATTAACTGTGAAATGTTCCATTTGTGTTCGATAATAATTTATTTTTTCTCGGCTTTGACGTAGCCCGCTGCAGTAGTCCAGTGTTTATTGTTTATTCCTCTATTTAATATACATGTTATTATTCTATTTAATATTATAATATATTATAGAATTTGTACGCTGCATTCCTTATCGCTGTAAACAACCAACTATAGCTGTACGATATTATACGAAAATACTAAAACACATGTACCACACCTTTTCAATTTCAACGGACAATAGTAGTACATCTTTGTATACGAAAAGAAAAATATTATACTATCCAAACTATTTTTATTCCAAATCTCGTGAACGCGTGTAAAATGTAATAAAAACGCTTATATGTTATATTTATATTATAATATTATATACAGGCCATAGGGTATCTGGAAAAACAACCCGTACGCGTACGGTGTCTTTTTTTTCACTCTTCCACGTTTGGACGTTTTTTTTTTTTACTCAATATAATATTGTGTCCGCAACACAATCATAATATATTGTTATATAGTTATGTAGCTGTAAAATCTAGACGCACGCGTCATAATAATGATAATATACCCCCCTCTCATTATCAAGGACGGTATTATTCCTCGCGTGTATCATCATAATATGTGGACGTGTGCTGCAGCGCTCGGTGCACCACAATAGTGCATTGTGTGCATAATAATTATATTGTTACCTGTGTTGTCTTTCAACCGGATATAATGCGGTATTTCGCGGATATTTCGCGAACGTCTTGGTCTTACCACAACTACTGGCCATTGCAGTTGTATTGTGTCATTGTTGTTACTTAATATTATTATTAACGGAAACAATTTATGCATGCAGCTCTGTGAACGTCAGGTTTTTAATTTTTATTAAGGTGGCTACGAAATGCGTATCGCATATTCTCGCATTCCTCAGCCTAGTTCGTCCGGATTGCGCGAAACCTGTTGGCGACGGTGGAAACTGGCACGGACTCGCGGTGTACGAGACTCCTATTTCCGAGCCACCACCGCCTCCGCGTGCTGTGCAAACCTTAGTGGATAATGATGAAAATATTATGTTTAAATATTCTCATGGCGTTGCGCTCGCGAGTACTTTCGATATATAATTACAATGTACACACATTGGTATATTATGGCATATACAATACATTACATTATAATCTTTGTTGCGAGCGATGATATAAATCACTCCTCTTCCACCACACTCGGAACATAAGCGTGGCAATGCGATTTGTTTGTATTATCATCTCGTGTAATGGGTGTAAGAGTTTTCGCTAATGTCGCGTTGAATCGGGTTTTTTTTTATACAAATCGTATTTTGTAGATGTATGTAATAAAATAGATTTCTGTCGTGAGTAATCGTATTATAATGATGTCACTGTTATACTATTTTATACACCGCGGCCTCGCGGAGGTCTCGAGTTTGGACGTTAATCGATGCTTCAGCCCTCGGAAGTTAATATTTTTAAAACGACGCGTTTCATAAGCGTTTTTCGTTACACGTAATTATTGTTATTATCATCATGCTAGCTCTTATGATTTGTTCTGTGCGCGCGGTTCCGTACCTATATCAATTCCAGCACATTGCGTACATCCTTATTAAGACGGCGAAACTCTTTCGCCGCTACCGACAAAAATTAATGGTATTCTTCGCCGCCGTGTGTCGATTATAACAATGATAATAATATTATATCATGCACACGACATTATAGCATTATGGTCGCGTTTATTGTGTGCTTGAGAGGACTGATAGAAAGAGAGAGGGCCCGTCGACAATAATCCCCGCTTCGTTATTATCGTGGACTTCTGCTACGTCTCATCGGCCCTCATTTTCCGCCCTACGGTTTAACGCTCTACCGTTTCTTATTCATTGATCAATTAAACACAACATTTCTTGTTGTTAGCGTTGCTCTCTTTAACAACGACATTCTTCGCTATAATAAAAACTCGTATCGTCGTTGTCCCGAATTTTTAGCTTTTGTCAAACGACGAGAATAATATTATATTTGGTGGTGTTGGTAGGCGGGCGTCCCACGAGCCATGGTAGAGAAAGAAAATAATCATAAACTTCTCGCAGGATGACAATAATATTATCGAACCGTCGTGAATTTGTCTACTATGGAATAGTGATTACAAAATTATTTCCATTCGAATAACAAGTCCCACGACGTATTTATTCTGGCATGTCGATTCGAGTTAATGTGTATTTTACATTCTTGTTGTTCGTTACTTCGGGGAAGCGCACACGTTTATATTATTAATTATAGTGTGTCTTGTATAATAGATCTCGATCGACGGAAGCACGATACAGATTACAGACGTGTGTAGTACAACCGATAATAGGGCGGCAGAGGGGGACTTTTTATACGGGCGACTATAATATAATAATAATAATAATGTGATGATGAATACGCGTGGCTCGTGGAATGCAGCGCGCATTCCTTTGTATGACTTTTTTACTGGACGTCCTAGTCACACGAAACTTGACCTTTATATTAAAATATTATTAATATACATTAATAACCGCCTTACCAAGTAGTGTAAATGACGCACAACGCTCGCGTGTAAATCACTATTAATGGTTTGGATCCGATAACCGATTATCGTTTATTCGAGTGCTTCGCTTATCGCCAAAAAACAGTGGTTATAGTAGTTGTGTTAAAGCGATAACTTTCCACGATGCCCGGGGTGAATGCGCGCGACGGGTTACCGCCCTGAGCAAGCAGATTATCACTGCGCGTGACTATGCGACATTTGGCGTATTCCACCATGCGATATATTTAGCGTACAGGATGTGAGTGGCGGTTGTGTTTCGATGAAATAAATTATTACTGCAAAATTAAAAGATTGGGAGAGGATGTCGCAGGCGGCGGGCAAGTTAGGCAAAAACCGGCGTCGGCCGTGTTTTTTCTAGCGCACGGTACTACAACACTACTACGGTTAAGTTGTTCGACGGGAAACACCCCCCCCCCCCACACCCATGTCATCGAGCAGCGGTTATCTTCTGGCGTGGAAACGAGGTTGGGCGTGTGTTTGCAGTTTTTCAACCCTATCGAAATATCGAAATCCGGGTGAAAAGAAAGAGTAACTATTTTGGGTTGGGTTTATTTTTAAAAATGTGTCTCTAGCCGAGTTTTTGCCGCACGAAGGGGTAGTGTGTGTGCGCTAATGGTGAAGAGATCAATAACACAGTTGTCGCCGTCTGAACCATAAACTCCTCCTCGACCTCACCCCCACACCATTAGCCGCCGTCGCCATGACGACCGCCTGTGGTATTTCTCGGCTCGGGAGTTCAATAAACCCGGTGGTGGTGGTATGTAAGGGATTTTCTCGTATTGCTACCGCCCGCCGCCGACCATAGTATTTGGGCGGCACACGCCGACTCTCGCTTATTTATGCAACAGGGTGTGCTTTTATTCTCGAAATTGTGTCTCCATCGCTCGCCACATTCTTTATTTAAGCTCTTAGGCTTTATAAAGTTAAAAACAAAAAATAAACCTCAAACTTATTCATAGAAAGAGTAAAGCCAACATTACTATGTACCATTAGTCACTGTACGGAAAACCGGTACCTACCGTTTTTACGACCGGAGGGACGGGTTGAGAGGTTATTGACTTTATATAGTTCTTCTCTCCTAGTAAACTTTCATATTGTATTTTTAAATATTTCAGAATAATATTATTCTGACCATATTACGAGCATAATATAGTACTTGTATAATTTTTATGTCAAAATATGAAATAACAAAAAAAAAGCTGCCGAAAGTGAATCTAATAAATAATATTTCGAATTCGTATTGCTTCCTAACGTGTCACATAACGCTACAGGTTGTATTTATTTATACGTTATGTCGTTGGTTTTTTTAATTTTTTGTTTTCTGTATTTTATCTTTCGGTAACTTGTTCACCATTTCGTCAAGGTCCACCGGGGGGAACAAACAGTGGCTCATATGCTTCTTGACCTTAATTTATACGTCTAAAAAATTCGTTTATTTTCCAATGATGAGTCGTTGCTCTAGACTCCTCGACGGATACACATTGGAATATCTCTATCAGCTATATTAATGATAATCATGATTTAGTATAGCAAAAATATTAAGTTACATTTTACTGGTTTGATAATGGTTTCAAACACGAAGAATAGTTTTTTTTTTTGTAGAATCAATGTTAACAAACCGAAAATAAAATCAATTAAAAATGTATATATGTTAATTGGATTTCGAATTTTTTTTATGTTTAGAATGTTGACCATAAAATGAAGCACCGTTCCAAAAAAGGACAATTGCCATTTATTGAATTGAATGGCGAAGAAATTGCTGATAGTACTCTAATTATTAAAGAGCTTAGTCAGAAATTTGGCAAAGACATTGATGCCGCATTGAGCCAAGATCAACGTAACATATCACATGCTATGGTATCGATGATTGAAAATAAACTTGTTTGGTATGTCGCTATCTCTATATTTTTAGACATTTTTACTTAATTTTAATGGTTTTAGGGTGATAACATGGTGGAAGACAAAAACTCCAGAAAATGTTATCAAAGGATACAAAGTGAACTTGCAACATGCGCTTGGCACATGGGTTCCAAATGGAGTTCTTAATTTCTTGTTCAAGCACAGTTATAGCCGAAAGGTGAGTGTGCTATAAATAAACATATGTAATAGGAAACATATTATGTAATTATTTAATTAAATTATTTTCGTGTTCACAGGGATTAAAAAAAGTTAAAGCTCAAGGAATTGGAGTTCATAAGCCCGAAGAGATTTTGGAATTTGGACAAAATGATCTTAAAGTTTTATCTGATGTTCTAGGCGACAAATTGTATTTCTTTGGAAATGAACCCTCAATTGTAATTTCTTTTATTGATATTATAATAATCCATAAATAAAAACTTTCATTGTTTGAATATAAAAAATAATTCACTTTAATTTCAGCTGGACGTAGTGGCTTTTGCAAACTTGGCACAATTGTTCTTTTTAGACAAAGATGTTGAATGCCAATTACGAGACTATTTAGTGGACAATTTTGGAAATTTAGTGGAGCACACAAACCGCATCAAGGAACGGTGTTTCCCTGACTGGGAAGACATGTGTAAGAATCTAGACTTGAACAGCCACTTGCCAAAACCACCGCCAGTTGAAGAAAAGCCTAAGGAAGATGGAGACAAGAAGGCCGCAGAAAACAAGAATACTGAAAAAGATGCTAAGGAACCATCTGATGAAAAAGTGAGTGAAAATTGATTGTACTCATTATTTTATAGTGTAATTACTTAAATTGATGAATTTCAATTTAGTATTAAATATAATTGTAAGATGTATCTAATCAAAAATGTATTATAGGGTGATGGAAAAAAGGAAGGAGAGAAAGAACCAGAAGACAAATGAGCGGTATTTGCACTGGTTACAATGAAACAGACTCATCACCATCATTTTAAATTAAGCGATTTCACCAACACTTTCGACCCATCATTATACTATTGACTTAAAACGAAAAAATCATACATGATGTATTTATAAGTTACGTAAACGTTATATGAAAACATATTATAATTAATACCCACAAATCCATTTTTTTTGTGAACTGATTTTTTGTCCTCGTCAACACGAAATTTTAAATACTTGTGTTGTCGAGCTAATATGTTTCATAAAATTGACTCCATTAATTTAATAATAATAAAAATACTTTGAAATTAAAAAAAAAATTTACAATTTATTACTGGGACACAAATCTGAAGCTCAGGTATTAACCTAACGCATAACTCTTAAGTATAATAATTATAATTAATTATCCATTTTATTTATGTGTTAAGACTTGTTTGTTTGTTTGGGCCTACGCTTTAATTTAAATGGGGACCAGACAAATAGGACCTCGATACAATTCCGCTTAGCTATACATATTATATAACATTTTATTATTATTTTTTTAATTAATGAAAACGTTGAAAATCCATTATTTCCTATTTCGGTGACAATATCCTTTCTGTATGATGTAAATTTTTCTACCATTTATATAATTTTATACATATTATTATATATATTTTACGTTTTTAAGTGTATAAATTAATTTATTATTTAAGTGAAAAAAAAAACGAACAAGAACAAAATTCAACTGTTAACACCTATTTTGTATTTATTTGAAAACAATATACATACTTTCTTCCTCTCCCCCTTTTGGCTTTTCGACAAGTATCGAAACGCTAACCTAACTAGTAATAATATCTAATTCTCATAGCATATTCATGTTCTCAAAATAAACTATTCACTTATAATTATATATGTATATGTAGGTGTATCTGTAAATACACACATATATATATATTAATAATAACTATATATTATTAATATTGAATTTTTTTTTATATTTATTTTATACTTTTACTACTATCATTCAAGTGTAATGGGAAGAATCTCGTTTGTATGATTTTTTTTTTTATATATAATTTTATTAAGCCTTTAAGAATAAAACAAACTGCAAAATATTTATAGTCTTATCTGTTAATCTCTTAGGGGAGAGTGTGAGACTATATATCCACCATAAACTCCTTGGGCATACTCTGCGAGAAATTCTTGTCGGTCTGATTCCTTTTCCCTTACCTATTCGTCACATAAAGACCGCCCTAACCAATTGGTTTATAAAAATTGTTGATCATTTTCAGATAGGTAAACTTTTAATTTTTAGGTGTCAGTAGTCTTGTGTTAAAAATTAGAATGGAATCATAAACCAAATAAATTGCATGGCTTCACACACCAATCTGGGTCTCAGTTCCTTTATTCCATAAGTTGACTACAACTAAAAAAAAAAAAATTTTGCCATGACAATTTTGCGTTATTAATACTACATCTGTAATGTCCCATCGTTGATATTATTCACGTGATGTCCGGATTTAAAAAAGCAAAATTGCAACTTTTAGAAGTGCTCTGTTGATAGTTGAAGCCAGCGCCGACGGTGAAGTATTGGAACAAATATTTTGTCAATATGTCAATAAACTTTAGAGGGGTGTTGGCTCCCTAAGCCCATTCAAAAGATGTGGTTTTTGGTTTATAGGTGGTGGGTGGCCCAAATTTTGTTGGCCTCTTAGGTAAAAAATTTTAACACGCAACTGAAGAATTGGTATGGGTTGAAATTATTAAAACAAGTGATGATTTATAAATTATGTAAGTGCATATCTGTTGTAAGTGTTGATTTTGAGTAATTAGATGTGCTCGATGTGTATTTTGTTGAGTATATAAGTTTTTATTTTGAAAAAAGTATAATACGTGTTGAGTAAAATTAGTTTTTTTTTATTGATACAAACTTTTATAATCCATTTGGACGGAAAGAAGAAATGATGCCTCTCACGTGGTCAATAAGATTTTTTTTAGTCAAATAGTCGATAACTGGCTGAATAATTTGGCAGTTGAAGTTGTTGAGTTTTGACAGCAGTTCTTCACTATATTATACTGTCTCGTTTTCACTTCACTACATTATTTTCATTTTCATAATCTATGTTATTACTTGCTTGTGTAAAATTATATTTTAACAAACTAATACCTATTTTAGAAAAATAATATTTAAGAAACTTTAGTACCTACCTATACCTAACCTATTTAGGTACCTACACCAAAATCGAGATTTTTATAATTTTGTCAAAATGTATACTCAAAATCAGCGTTTCCCAACCTTTTTCCCTCGCGGCACACTTGTCATTGACTTTATATGTATGCATATTTTTTTTATCCTAGACTTCCATCATATTAATTGTTAATACCAAAGTGGTTGTATATCAGTATAATATTACTAGCAAACAATTTAAAATGGTATGATTGAAAAAAAATATTATTATAATTATCCTAAATATTTAATCTATTGAAATGGAAAAACAAGGTACCTACATTACAATATAAAAAAACCTAATCTTAGTGAGAAATTTGTGACTGTTTTCCCTTCATTATTAGATTCCTTCGTGGTCGAGTGGTTGATAAGCACACCCTCTCATGTGGTGTTCCAATTTTCCTAAATTTTACGTTAACGTTTATTAATAGTAGTGAACTTTCGCGGCACACCGGTCGGGAAACCTTGCTTTAAGTGCTCATAAAAAATCATTGTAATCTGTATCTTTAATACATTTTTAATGATATTACAAATTACTAGGAACCTTGAATTTAATTGTCAAGGTTTTTGAACCAACGAAATTTTTTTTATCAATATTATAGAAAAAAAAACCAAAAATAATTTCAAATGTCTTTAAACGAATCAAAATATTTTGAGAATTACATTTATATCGTGTACAGAAAATGATACAATAAAGTATAAACAATTGCTGAAAATTTAAAGTATCTACGGCTATTATTTTTTGAATTACACCAAAAAACCAATTCGGTCAAAGAATGGTGGCCGTAAAAATTCCCTGTTTTTTCTAGATTCATCTCCTATCGCGAAGTCATCTTCCGATCCTCGAAGTAATCGAACATCGTATAAAGCATAGACATAATATAGATGTCTATATTATTCTATGTATAAAGCAGTGAAATCAATATAATAATAAACTAAAAAACACATCACTGTAACAGTGCTCCAGTCAGAATCTAAAAGCTCTAAACAACATATCCTCCCAACATAATAACTACACTGTGCAGTCGTAATAATCACGAAAATGTGCAAAACAATTCATAATTTTTTGTCCTTTTTATAGCTAATATTCGACAACTGAATAGAAGATTTCTCATAAGTTTTTCTACTTTAAACATTGTGTTACGGGAACGTAACACAATTTATAGCCATGAAATATTTTTGATTTATATCGATTAATAAATTTGATCATTTATACACGTACGCTGGGCAGGCAGACAGTCTCAGAATCGTTTTTCGTTGACAATGATTTAATATTAAATTAAAATCCAACACATCCATTATGCCTACTAAGCAACAAAGAGGTACTCACTTGTCCTTTATTTACTTGGTGTATCTATAAATAAAAAGGCGGAGGAGTACCGATGATTCGCTGTACATCAGGTGTTGTGTGGTATAGTGGCCGGTGGGTCACTGTAATGAGCGGTGCAAATTTTCAATCAAGCGGTTTATTTTTTGTTTTAGAACAGAAAACAATGTTGAACAAAAACCAATATTGACTTGGTTTTACAATCATAAAGTGTAGAATAAAATGCCTATGTAAGTGACAACTTATTGCTTCGTGAGAGTTTTCAATATATTTTTTACTGATGAAAGGGCATATTTTGAAGTTAGATGTTTTTTTTTTTTATTGATCCCTTAAGCCCGGCTTCTATGGTGTAGTGTTGTAGGTTTGGAATGGTAAGTTTTTACACGTGAGTTTGTTGGCTTTTGATGGCCGAGTTGCATGCCGGTGTGATGCGGCAGAAGTTAGGTATCTGCCTATGAATCCTGCCCATGACGCTTCACCATAATAATGATGAAATATAATATCATTTTAACTTTCAATAAATATTATTTTTTAGAAAAAGGTTAAATTGTGATTTAGAAGAGTAATAGTATACATTTTTCATGATTTTTTTAAGGCATAACATCAAAATCACTATTTCACAAAACTGAAGCACAATATATTTTATCATTCGCTTAATTTTAATTATTTTCCACTTACATGCACAATTGTCCATCGCTCTTAATAAAAGCATTTAAACATACACAAAATTTGAACCCTCTTGTTGCCCCATGATACCACTTACTTGTTCTCACACTAAACCAAAAATTATCATTTGGAATGCCTTATTAGCCAACCCCCTACTTAATTACAATATAGTAATCCACGTATGAACAAAAACAAAGAGTAAAACCATGCTGAGGTGTGAGGTATTAGATATAATATATTATTAATTGTATATAAATATATATATGCAGTATAAAAGTACAATTCGCTTAAAAACAATAAAATTAGCAAATATTGTAGCGAGTAATATACGAATGTAGTTAAGAGTATGATAATTAGGTTAAAAATACAAATTTCACATACATTATTTATGTATTACGCTAACATGTTAAGTACACTTGTTTTACATAGATAATGTTGAGTACATGCACTTGTGTTATGATAATTTGTTGGAACATAAAAATAAAAACTTATACAAATTACACTATTTCAGATGATCTACATTTTTCTCTTCAATGCAACCGCTTTATGAACATATAACAGGTATACGTTTATACGTATAACTACGTATATCCAATTATTTTAAAGGTTCTTAAATTTTTTAACTAAAACTAAAATTAGATTATATTATATTAAATTTAATTATTTACTATATTATGTTTTGAAAACCAATTTTACTTAGCAAAATACCAATAAAATATTCAATTTATGCATTTAATTTAACTTACATAAGTGATTACACTAATTTAGCTATTTTTTTAAACTATTTGTAAATTTTAACAAAATTAAAAAATATTAAAACGAAATTTAAGTCTGCTTATTTATTATTTTATTTTTAATAAAATAATAATTTGTCATCAAGAAAAATAAATCTAAAAAACTAGAAATTTCTATTTCTAATACCAAATTATAGACATTATATAAATATGAATTTGAGTCCATACTTAAAAAACATAAGTCGCACATTTAGAATAAAAATATGATGATAAGGGAACTACTATACTGAACACAATTCCAAATATTTAGTATAGTGTTTATAATTTAAATGATTATTATTTATTTAAAATTGAATGATATTTTGAATGCACATGAATGAAGAGTATTTAAAAACAAATAATCTTACAAATTAATTATTGGGGGCTCAATTACTTATTCTGAAGTTGTATATACTCCATTTTTTTTTTGTTTTTTTTTTAATGTGATTTTAGCGACTTGAACGACCTCTTCTTGCCACTCCTCGACCACGTCCACCACCACGACCACCACGAGGTGGAGTAGTTTTGACAGCTGGAGCTTCTTTTACTGGTTCGGATTCTGGTTCAGCAACAACTTCAGAAGTTTTAACATCAGTATCTGCAACTACAGTATCTGCAACTACCGAATCTTCAGAGTCAATTGCTTTCACCTCTTCATCCGGTATTTCAATAATAGGTACATCACTTTGTATCTCCTGGACATCATCGTCGTCGTCCATAGGTTCAGATTGTGGTTCAACGATGCCATTTTGCTCAACTGCTGGTGTATCGTTTTCAGTTTCATCCAAACGAGCTTTTTTCTCCTGATGTTCAATTTCGGTATCTTCTGGATTTACCTCTTTATCATCATCATCTTTCTTGTCTTCTTTCATTTTGCGCTTTCGATTATTGATTTTAGCCTAAACAAAACAAAAAACGTGATAGTTGAGCATATTATATAAAAAGTATTTTAGACTAGAAACATCCAGGAATTTAAATATTTTATTATTCATTTAGCAAAATAAATTATACTTACATGCAATTTTGTGATAGTAGTGAAGTTAATATAATGTGAAGCAGTTTGACAATGTAAATCTGCTTCTTCATCATTCTTCATAAACATTGCACAAATACGACATACATATCCTCCAGTTTTGACTACAAGTTCACGACCAACAACATTAGCAGGATTATATTTTTCATCTTTTTCTTTTTTAATCACCAATGTATCTTCTTTAGCTGCAGTATCATTGAGTTCCTTATCAATGTTATTCTCTTCTTTGGAATTATTATTCTCGGTTTTTGAAGTATCATTCTCTGTTTTTGAAGTATCATTCTCTATTTCGGAAATATCATTCGCTTCTTTGGATACATCATTCTCTACTGCAGAAACATCATTCTCTTCTTTAGAAACATCATTTTCCTCTTTGGAATTATCATTCTCTTCTTTCTCCCCATCTACGATATTGTCTAAAACCTCATTATCTTTAGATTCCTTTTCAATGTCTTGATCTTCTTCTTCTTCATCATCTTTCATATCTTGATCATCGAGCATATCTGATTTTAATGCTACGGGTATTTCTTCTGAATGTACATCATCTTCAATCACAATCACATCAAGCAATTCAAATTCATCATCTTTAAGATCTGGATTAAATTGACGGCGCTGTTCACCAACTTTGCGTAAATGATCTGAAGACAATTTGTGATCATCCCATTCTAAACGAGTATGGAATAACGTATCACACATTTTGCATTCTGGATGAAGAAATTGTTTCAATTTCTAAAAAATAAAACAATTTGAGTTAATACACAATATTTATTAAATAAAGAGAAATGGACTTTAGCCCAGGGCTATGGTACATAGCTATAGAAATAATATATTGTACTCATGCCCACGAGAGAACATAATCGTTTCGTCCATATATACTGACAGTAGGTCCCAATCACTTTCTCCACTTAGTTCCACAACGGTACAGACCTTATAATAAAAAACCGTTGTCGATGAATGGGAGATGCGTAGGATCGGACACATTAATTCTTTGGTGGGCACGAGTATGGATACATAAAATATAAGCACACATCTATATACATATTAAAAGGGTACCCAGCTCACTGTTATGATCCCTTTGGCCCACACGCAACACAGGTAAAACACAATTACACAGAATAAAGTAAAATTACAAATACCAAAAACCAAAAACAGTAGAGAATACAATTTTAGGGCATGCCATAAGGTTTGTTTAAATATCGTCTCTAAACCATTTCAACACAATTTAAATTAAGTAATTTTTTTTTTTTAATTTGAATATTAAAGTAAAATAATAAAATATAAAACCAAAATGTCATGCCATCAAAAATAGTATTCTTTATAATGTTTGGAATAGGTGATTTTTCATTTAAACTACTCGAAAATCATTAAAACGATTTTAGGTGAAAGACAAAAATGTTTTATCTAAGTTACGCTTAGGTCTGAGAGAAAAAACAAATCTTCTCATAAATCCTCTTAAATATAGATATTAGAAATTTGCACTATTTTAAACAATACATTGAAATTAATAGCTTTATTGATGAACATTTATTTTTTTTTATGTGAAATCAACAACATTTATATATTTTTAAAACAATTAATGTTGAATATAAAATGAAAATAAAAATCTAATTTTAATGCACCTATTTGGAAGTTAAAATGGTTTATTACAAACAAAATTTGTAATAAGGTATGTTAATAGTTAATAATAAAATGATGTGAATCAATATTAAGTTGCCAAGATCGTCAACATTTTTTGTATTATGTAACAAATATACATTATTTTAATTTATGAACAGTACTTAAATATCTATTAATGTAGGTACTTACACGATGACGATCACTTTTACGATGTCCAGTTAAAGGGCCATAGAAATTAATATTGCACATAGGACAGTAGTTACGGAACAATGGTTTTGCTTTCCCTTTATTTTGAGCTTGCATACGTTCTAAGTCGATTTCTCTTTGATTTTCAGCTGCTTTAATCTGGTGACGCATTAACTCCACTTGCATTTTGTACCCTTCATCCAAGTATGTCATCATCAGTTCATGAGGACGACCGCGGACGTGTTTCTCAAAAGACTAAAATAATGATTTTTTGTAATAATTTAGTTTTAGGTACACGTTGAGGTTATAAATAAACACATAAACTGTAACTTACGGCTCCATCCCACATGTGTTTTTGACAAACATGGCAAAATAATACAGCTGTCGGAATACCATCGTAATCCACATGTTCCTAAGTTATTGGTATAAAATATATTAATTACTTCATATATTTGTTAAAATAAAAATATATTTACTTGGTCTGTTGTTTCTTTCTTGACACCATTTGTTTCATTACTAGAATTATATAAAAGAATAATAAAAAAATAGTTATGTTAATAAAATTAATCAATATATCATACAAATTATTAGGCCTTTCAAGAAATATATAAAGAATACAATTTTAAAGTAAAAATGAAATCTTTATTTAAATATGATTAAAGCAAAAAATTGTACAATTGAATGAGAGTTTAAGTTCAAGTATCATTGTTTACCCCATAAAAAAAATATCAATCATAAATGATCAAAACTGTTATTGTTTCCAAGAAAAGGGATGTATTATACAGCATCATTGGATTGTGTTGTATTAATCACTCAAAAAACTTAAATAATAACAAGATATATTTAAAAAATAAAATAAAATACAATATACTTGGTTTAAAAAGTATGTACTCGATGACACATATTAAAAGGTATTACTTCCTTAAATGATAATTATGTGTAATAAGAGCATTATTTTAAGATAGCTGATATGTTTAATAAAATTATATTTGGGAATAAATTAGATGCATACAACAATAAATCACAACTCATGAATATAAAAATAATCATGAAAGCAGTTTTTTATTTCCTGATTAAGAAGGGAGGTGCCTATGACATGTTTTACTAACACATAATTAAATATAGTAAAATATATGTTCAGTATTTCAATTTTGTGTTGTTAGTTTAAAAATTGAGTGAATTTACATATGATTAAACTTAAATGTAAGAACAGTATCTGTGTTCTCGATTTGGTTTAAACAATATTTTAATTTTTTAGTAAACTATGAATATTTTAAAATGCATATGTACACTCAATTAATAGCTAAAAAATGTTAAATATAAAAAAATCTACTGTTGTCAGTCTAATGTCAACTCACTATAAATATTTAAGCTAACAACACAAAATTGGGTACTGATGAACATCAATTTTATATATTGTAAGAGAGAAAACATAATCTACCCTTAATCAGGAAATTCAAAACTGCTTTTATGATTATTTTTCATTTATTAGCTGTGATTGAACTTTTACAGCACACAATGTTAACCCAACTAAACTTCTAAAAATAAAATTTAATATAAATAAAAGCCAAAAGGTATTGATGAAAATAAAATATGAAAACATTTATCTTGAGATTCACACCTAATCTTAATAGAAGTAATAGCCATCTTAAATCAAAATCACCATATGTTTAGTTGTTGGTATTGCCATAAATGTATCTAAAATAATAACTGTGATGTATGCGTATGTATGTATAAATATAGAAGATTTATAGAGATTATCAATTAAATAAAACAAAATTGTACATTCCCAATTATCATAAAATAATTTACAAACCAATGAATACCTAGATAAAAATAAATAATTAACACAATGAGAGTATACATAATAACCACTGATGTTGGCCTGTCGAGATGTTCAAGTTTTTAAGCATAAAGAAATAATCTTTACTTTTAATTATTTATATGACAGTACGCTCAAACAGAATTTTAGTTTATGGATAACTCGGTTGAATATTTTATATATTAAATTAAATAGCTTCTTTGGAATTTAAAAATATAAAAATGTTAAAAAAAAGAATTAACACAAGCATAACTAATGTATGAATGAAATATTCTTTCGAACATAACAAACGTATGAATAAAATAGTCTTTCAAGACTTAAACAAACAAATGTTATATAATTATGGTATTAATAAAATAATAATCTGTTTAGGTAATACATAATGAGTTTTCTAAAAATGGTTAAATTAAATTATTTCATTACAGTATAGAAATTTTATGATTCAAACTTTTATAGTATATATTATCTTTGAAATTATATATACCCCTTAATACAATTAACTAAAACTAGGTATAACAATTAGTATATTAATTAAGTAAATGGTAGTACAAACCAATGTATAGCTTACAAACAAACAAAATACTTACTTGATATTTTTATACTTAAGTAATAATTTTAACAAGTTATAAAATAGGTTTTTGAATCCATAAAAGTAATAGTTCTACTAAGTATACAAAATTATGTATTAAGAAGAGAAATAAATAATAAGGGTTTAAAGAGTAGAAAATAATAATTCCTAATTCTTCTAATATTTCAATAAAATGCAATGGAATATATGGGCGGATAAAATAATTTAAATGAAGAGGGATTGCCAAATGCTTTTAAAATAGCAGCGAAGAATTATATAAATATATATTTATATAAATTAATTTTAGTTCCCCTAAATGCCTACTGGTTCTCTACAACTCGTTGGTTCGTTCAGTTCTCGAGTATGGGTGCGTAGTCTGGTCACCATACACCGCTGCTGACATTCGACGGATTGATCGGGTGCAAAATTACTTTATGAACTTTGTTGGCTTCTGTCTCAATATCCCTCACCCAAAACACGATTACAGGCCTATTATACAAGCCCTTAAGCTCAACTATCTCCAAACTAGGCGTGATAACCTTGGTAATAATTTTATTCGAGGTTTAATTGAGGGTAGAGTCGATGCCCCTAGGCTTCTCGAACAACTTGATTTTCGAATACCCAATAATACTAGGTTACAGTGTTCTTTCTATCCCCCTAACAATACGTCTAACTTTGCGAGAAATGCCCCATTACCAAGATTAATGCGCTTAGCGAACTTACTGTAATACCCGTAGTACGGAGGCTCACATTTTCGTTAGCCTATTACTTCTATTACCATGTTATTTATTTCTTATTATCATTATGTTATCTATCTAGAACTTTATTTAATTTATTCATATGTAAAAAAAAAAAAAAAAAAAAAAAAAAATGTTTATATATCTTGTATCTGTATCTTGTACACTCCATGTAAATTTTGTAAAAGCCGACTGGCGTTAATTCTAATAAAATAAAATAAATAAAAATAAAAAATCCGGAATAATAGATTTTATGAAATGATTCCTTACCTCTTATCATTTTTATCCGCTTCAGGTTTAGAATCCTTTTTCTTATCGTCCTTTTTTGGAGGAGGTCTACGATTGCGATTATCAGGCCTGCGCCGGTTTTGGTTCTGGTGGTTATCAAACAACCAATCAATTATTGTGCCAGGAACAGAGAGATTCGATAGAGCACAACAAATGAAAAACAAACTCAGATGAGATTATGAAATTTGTTCGATAATTCGATTGCCAGCGAAACGAATCAGCCAGCTCCAGAATTCAAATTGCCAACGGCAACAGGCCAAACTCAGATTAGCTAAAACGCTCAGCAATAAATAATTGGCAAATCGAAATAATTATAACAGAACGTTTAGATATACTATAAATATGATTAGTTACTGTACAAAAACCTAATTTAAATAATTTCCTAATAGGTACTATTAGGAATATTTTAAAACCTATCCAATTATTTTTTTAAATTTGTAAAATATTTAAAATGTTAAGAATATATAACAGCTTAAATACTAATTTTTTTAATTTAACTTAGTTTTACCTTAAATGATTCTTGTCTTCTCACCATTCCAGGGTTTGGACCCCAATTTTGGCTACTTCCGTATCCACCCTAAAATATTTAATGTTTAGTATTGCAAATAATAAATTAATAAATCATAGTAATCCTTATTCATTTTTGAAAGAAGTTGGCATATAAAATAAATTAATATATAAAACTGTATTTATTACCTGATTAGGTGCTAAAAGCTTAGATAATAAATCATTAGCTAGAGCCATTTGATTGGGATGAACATTTGGCATCATCCCACCTCCCGGGGATACACCTGACTCCCAAGGACTCATCTTCGGGTTTCTACCATAACTATTGAAATTATTGAAACGGCTGCTGCCACCTCCATTGAAATTTCCACTGCCGCCGCCGCCGCCACCACCAACTCCACCACTTCCATAATTGTTAGAGCCACTAAAATTATTGCTAGGGCTTTGTCCATAAGAATTTCCATAGTTGCCACTATTTCCAGCTCCATAACCACCACCACCACTTCGACGGTTGTAAGACATTTTGCTATAAATCAAATATACATAAATTAAGATTAATTATAGGTACATAATTTCAGTTTGCATAGATAATAATTAGAAAAACTAAATTATCTTATTAATGAATAATGATTATTTAAGAACATTATTAAGTTTAATTATTTACTGATAATTTTACCAGGAAGTACATAGTATTTTTCCCAAGTTAGAATAGAAACTATTTAGTGTTCTAGGGATTTAAATTATTGTTATTTCATTATTTAAGGAATACATGAAATGCAGTCAATTTTTTTTAATTAATAATGAGACTAATAGGTAGTTTTATACATTTAAACATTTTAGATCAAGTAGGGACCTACATTATTTAATTTGTAACTATTAAAGATTTTCTGTATCTTTAAAAAGTGATAAATATAAAATTAACATACAGGAGTAATTAAAAACAATTAATAGATTAGTACAGTTGAATTTTTACAATACTGGATATACAAAGTAACTGGAAACTCTAGGTACTTACCAGTACAACTCATATTTTGAGAGCTAAATGTACCCAGATTTCATACATTATTTTATATAAATATGCTGTTTTTACAAACATGAAAATTTGATATCTAATGTGAACCATAATCATAATACAAGATATAAACGTTATATAAATATTTAGCAAATAGTTAAAAAGACTCTTAAGGGGATTCGATACCGTGATTTTCTGTTTTTGTCTAACACACGGGCGACATAGTATTTTTTTGACGTGTTTTTTGCCAAACATTCCAATTGATCTATTGAAGCGATAAGATTTCTGAAAACAGATTTGACTTTTTCGTCAAGTCTACTTGAAATCGACTTTCCCACATTTTTGATTTTTTGATTTTAACTTCTCCAATAATTGAAATACCAGAATTTTTAAATACTCTTTTTGAATATTACATTTTAAAAAATTTGGGGGATAATATCAAAAATGTGGGAAAGTCGATTTCAAGTAGACTTGACGAAAAATTTAAATCTGTTTTCAGAATTCTTATCGCTTCATTAGATCAATTGGTATGTTTGGCAAAAAGACACGTCTAAAATACTATGTCGAGAGTGTGTTAGACAAAAACAGAAAATCACGGTATCGAATCTCCTTAAATAGACTCTTGGATCAGAATAACATGTTCAACTTTTGTAAAAATGATGATATTAAATTATTTGAATACAATTTAGATTTTGATAAAGAGTCTATAATCATAATATAATTACTGTTGTTTGGTTTAATAATTTCAGTTATTTTTCTCCTTATCATGCCTACAGACGATCAGAAGAACTCTCTTAGTCAAGTGCTTGTGAACTATCCGAGATCGTATAATATATAAGGGTGCTAGAGTATTGTACTTGAATCGGCCCATGAGATTATCTATTGATCACATGACATGCGTCCAATCTATCAGCCTGAATCGAAATCGAACGTACCTCCTTCACCCCCCCCCCCACCCCCCAATCATACTAAAAGGGGCCACACTAGAATTAGGTATACCGTCATGCCGATCGCGGTAATATTATTATCGAGGACGCGAAAAAATCTCGTAAAATTGGTGTAGGTCCGGTTTAGTGGAGCACTTCCGGAAAACGTTTTCACGTCGGCCGAAATGTGAACCGCGAACCTTCAGTCCGGGCGTAAGTAGGCCAATCACCTCTCACGTGTATCAACACGTATGAGCGGCGCACGACTCCATGACGCGTGCCGGTCGATCGGCATCGTCCGAAAATCGATAAAATCACGTTAAACCGGCATCTGCTATTATCAGTCGTCGATATTACTAAACACCGCTCCGGTCAGCGAGGCGCGCGAAGTCTAATAAACGCGCAGATAATGATTAATAATTAATAACAATCCGCGTACGATAAACAACTCGATCGCCGATGCACGTTAGGTATAATATTTACATAGCCACTAAAGCCGCGCGATGGGGATCGTCAGGGGAACGGCGTCGGCGCGCGCACAGAGATAAAATATTATACAACAGGAGAATTTCTTAAATTAGACCGACGGTCGCGTCGTCGACCAGTTCGGTTTATTGAAGCGAAATATTATGTAAACCATAGTATTATGAGCGGTTCTCAACGTGTGTCGTGTACCCGGCGCGCGCCCTGTATGTAGGTAGTATGTTAGCGTTGGCGATTGCCGAGTGCTCTGTGAATACTCACGGTTGTGTCGTTGTAGGACGACGACGATGTCAAGGTGCAGAACGTGAACGACGGAGATTGAGCTTTTTGAACGGATTTGTTCGCGAAGAACACAAAAACCAACGGATTCACGGACGGGCTGAACACGAACGGCGGCACGAGAATAGTGTACGAAAACTGTAACTAAAATGGCGGAAACCGACGCCGAAACTCGTAGTGGTCCTACAGCAGTGTGACCAACTGCCGACCGGTGTTGCGTCTTGCAAATATATGGTATGTCGTATGATATAGTTCGTGCGTCTGTAGGCCTAATTATTATGTCTATGGAATTTATAGTAGATACATCATACATGGAATTATTCTTGACAAATTTGAAATTATATAATTTGTAGTGGAATTATTATATTCATATTCCCGATCGAAGGTAAGTATATATTATAATGTCCCCGATATCCCGAATCGTGGAAATAACATATTAAGATAATATCTTTATTAATATAAATAATAAATATACTTATAATAAACCATTGACGATAGATCTTAATATACAAGTGTCAAGTATTATGCCCACAGAATAGATGAAATCTATCTATGAAATTTCATCTATTCTGTGTTATGCCTAGCACGGCCGGCGTTATACAATTTTGACGGGGGGTGAGATCAAGAATTTTGACGACTGTGAAATGTCGACTCGTAATTTTTTAAAACAAACTAAGTGAAGTATAAAAATTCCTGATTTTTCTGGTGCACTTAACTAGCTTGAGCAAATAATTAAAATTTAATAAATATTGAAAACCATTATAAAAAAAAAAAACTAAAATAGATCTAAAACATTTTTAACCATTCTATCTATAGTTATCGTCGTCGAAAATTTCAAATATTCAAATATTAATTGACAGCTTATTAATAAATAGTGATATATTGATATATGGGCCATAAGGTAGGTACCTATGTGAATGCCATTCAGATAAGTAGGTACCTATGTGAATGCCATTCAGATAAGTCAAATAATCTTTTATGTCGTTGTAAATGGACGAAGAAAACCAAAAATACCCAAATATTTACAAAATATGTACTTATTTACCAAACATGTAAAAATATGTATTTTTACCCAAATATGTTAAAAATATGTAAAACAAAACTGAGTTTATTTTAATTAGAACGATCTGTACACATATTTATCAAATTTAAAATATCTCATTCCAATAAAAATATGTATTTACATTAAAATCCGTTCCCTAGTGATTATACAGTTTTACGATTTTTTACTTGTATATCATACAACCGTTCAGGACTGTCAGTACTATTTTAAGTTCTAAAAAATAAATGTTCAAATCCGAAAAACTCATATTGCATATTTAAATGCATTTTTGTCAAATAGTGATTTACCTACTAGGTACTCAAAATATCTAGTAAGTTATTTGTTCAACCATATCAATCATCAAGAGTAATTAAAGCAGTATTTTTTGTGTTGTTTGCCATCATTATTCATCACCATTTGGAGTAGTGAAAATCCGTCTTGTAAAGAATTCTTTGGTCTTTAATTTTGTACTCGGAATACATTAAAAAAATATATTCTGAATAGGTACATATTCGAATAATAACTTTTACCCCTTTAATATTTGTCAATTTTGGAATGGTTGGAAATTAACGTGAGTCAGACAATCATATTTCATTCAAAAAGAATAATAATGTGTTTATAATTTATAATGTGCTCGACTTTTAATAGAAAAATTTGTTTTGTCACAAATATAAACTATTTATTGAGTTTGAAAAAAGTACAAAAAAATTATTCAGAATTCGTTTTTGAATAATTTTTTTTAAAAAGTATTTAAAATAGTAATCGAAAAAAAATAATCATTTGAATACTTTTAAGTTTTATTCGAATACATTACATGACTGGTGAATATATATATTTTATGATAGGTATCAGTGGCGTACCCAAGGGGGGGGGGGGGGGGGGGGGTCGGGTCCGGACCCCCCCCCCCCATTGAGATATCTACATTTACATTTACAAATTATAGTACCTACCTATTGTTATAAACCTTTCTGTATATGTACTGTGAGTGTGTGTATAACTATTGACTATTGTAACTATATTATAGTTATTAACAGTAATATTTTGGTAATGAATTAAACTATAATTATAATTAGAGAACAGATAAAATAAAAATTTTTGACCCCCCCATAAAAAAATCCTGGGTACGCCTCTGGTAGGTATATCAAAGTAACAAAGTAAGTTCTTACTCGTACTTTGTTGGGTTAAAAGTAAAAATTCCCAGCATTTTTATAAATAAATAAAAAAAAATTACATGGTTACATAAATCATCATTTAAATTGTCAATTAAGTTTTCAAAATATTTTAACTAATTTATGTATTCTGCAGTCATAAAATCTGTGGTGTTTTCGTGAAAAATCTATTTGGTTACTCTCATTTATGAACTTAATTCAATGATATACAAATATGGCTTATCATTATTCATTTATATGCATTAAATTCATAACTTTTTCAAAGATTCAACCTTTCAAAAAGTAGCTTACCTATAGTAGCCCCCCCCCTGGCAATAAAACCTACATTTATAAACTCATAATCTTTACAAAAATAAATTTCTTATTAGGTACCTAGTTTTGTTCCTATACATTTTCGTGAGCTTTAACGTTTTATAACATTGAACTTGATAATTCTCTTGGCAGTTCTTATTAATTATTACTATGTGCCCTGTGGCACGGGATGCTACACAATTTAAAGGGCAATAATAACAGCAATTTTTGGGGCAAATTTAAAACATGTAGATTATTTATAAAATATTAATATATTAATTTATTTAGTTTTAAAAAATATTGAATAGGTATAGGTACGTTAAAAACGTAAATAAGTACCAAGTTACAACACATTTTCAATCAAAATTGTACAATTATTATAGATTACTAATAATCGTAAGTTTGAAACGATCTGCTGTTCATTAGGTGTCTAGAGTCTTTAAATAATATATAATAAATATAATATTAGGCAAATATATTTTAGGGCAAGGGATGCTGTAACATTTTAATAATCACTTTCATTAACGATGATTACCTATAACTATAAATTATAATATACCAATACGTTATATTTTACGTGGTAATAAACAATCCTAAATATTTACTACATGGTTCTAATAACTTATATAGACATAATTAATTATGAATGTCATATTATGACTACCTATAAATTATAATACAGAATACGGATTGCTTAATTGTTGTAAATTGCAGTACTAGGTATACTTACGAACGTATATACGTCCGTATTTATACTATTTTTCACAGGATATACGCTAAATTCTTAGAGTTACCCTATGACGCTATAATTTACCAAATAGTAAATGGGTATACGTATAGGTACCCTCGAAAACACTGATTCATAAAATAAAAATATTACAGTTAATCATATAAGAAGCGGTGACGTATATTATGACGTATAACCTTGTACGTGCGTAATAAAATTTGTTTGATTTCTGATTTGCCGAACGTATACTTATTATATTACGCACACTGCTCGGTGCGAGGCCATTGACCTGTATTTCTAAAACTGGTAGCGGATATTATCGTGTGCGTGAGTCGCAAGTCGTGTGTGAGTGTATCACAAGTTAATGCGTTATTTTTTGGAGGTCTTTGGTCCGTAAAGAAAAAGGGCAGCCAGTAGGTTTGGTATTTTGTTTCCATGTCATGCGTCCATGTTAGAACTTTGAAATTCCCAGACAATCTTTTTCGACTATCACAAAAGTTGTGTACATCTGTAGTACAAGTAGGTACCCACACTTGGTCCAGTAAAAAACGTTTACTCTGAGGTACTGATGTTTACAATATAAAAATAATCATGTAGAGATCACTTTCTAAATTATTTTAGAATTTAATTATTAATATATCATAGTTGTTTAATTAGTTAGGTATCTATTCCTATTACATTACTTATAATTGGAGTTAGGACACATATATAGTTAGTGCAATAATAATAATAAATAAGTAAATATAAGTACTAAATTGCTCCAATTTTGTTGTAAAATGAATAACTTGTAAATCGCATAGCAGAAATATCTAATTATTTAGGCTCGTACTTATGATATACGTGTAGGCTCATACTTATGATCTTTATGATAAGCTGAATGCTGATACAGTTCATATATATTAATTATGATTACTATAAAATAATTATTTTTATTTGTCTAAATTAAATATTCAAATGAATAATAAATAATTTAAATCTCGACTTGGACCACGTATCGATCGATAATTGATAAAAAAAAAAGCGCGAAATTTGAAATGGGCCAATGAGAACGTAGTATGCATAAGCCGTCTGGCGTCCTAAACGCGGGCCGCGACTCTCGTCTCTGTGTACTACAGGTGAGGAAGGAGGAACAACGCTGTCGCCGTGGGAACGTGTCATGTGACAAGCCGCGGTGAATGTACCAAATATCACCATTATTACGGTACGTCTATGATACTCGCTATAATACCGAGCCAACTTGAGCAAACATTTAAAATTTTAACAGTTATATTGTCCAAAAAGACATTGCGATAAGAATGAAGAAATATACTGCTATATATATTATAACACTATTAAATACTTATTAGAGAATTAAAGAAAATTTATTGATTTTGAAAATTGTATCATATTTTATGGAATATGGTGACCATATATTGGTGAACATTTAAGTATCTACCCGTTCTACCGCTCGGTGGAAACAATCATCATTAAAATGGGCTCTCCTTTAATAGTACAACCAAATAATAAATGTAATAATTGTAAATAGAACTAAGTCGTTATTATTTATAAAGTATGGTTGTATCATTTGTTCAATGTTTGGACATTGCAGTATTGTTTGAGTGTCCTGTACATATTGTGTAAAAATGTGAGTATCCTAACAAAACTGTGATCGGGCACTATATCATGTAGACGCGATATATGAATTTTGTTTCGTCCCAGCTTTCACATGTCTTATATACAATCGATTTTGAAAATGTTGTATTTTACAGTCCACAAAATACAAAAAGGAATATTCTACTTGTTTATTGGTACTAATTATGTTCTATACTGTGTAGTGTTCATAGTTTCATTGCTACGCGGTGTCCGATAATTTATAGCCAAAACCAAAAAGAATATTCTTATATCATTGATTTTAAATACAAGTATTTATATTTTATAATCAATGTTTATATTAATATAATTCGTAAATCTTAATTAAGTGATGAATAACGGCATGCGCATGGCACATATATGAAATCTATAGGTACATACTTGAACAAAACATTTATTATTTACAGGAGTTTTACATATAGCAGCCCTCCAGAAACCACCCTCAAAGTTGTAGGTCGAAGCAATTTTTCTACTATAAATTGAGTATACTAACACAGTCGCCAAAAAAATAATCACATCATTGTTAAAACAATACAATTTGTATTTATTATTGTTTGCTGCTAACTGAATTGAGTAATTCTAAATCACATGAATTTATTTATATAGGTATTTCATTTCGACTTCCAATACAACCTAAACCGGATAAAATTTAAATTAATTTAGTTTTTTTTTGCTTTTTTAAAAGTATTTTCCTGTTGGAACTCCTATTGGCCTTCTTAGTTCTTACAGTAATTTTGATTCTAAAAGTGAGTCTTGATAAAAACTAATTAATATTAAAGTTTATTATTATATTATAATGAAAAATATAAGAAAATATATCTATCATCTAGGTTATAGACTACGCTAAAAATCGTCGTAAATACTTATGAGGTGTATCGCGTACGGTGTATTGTATATATAGACATATAGTATATGTAAATTGTAAATAGATTGTTTTAGATAATTCGAGCTAACATTATGTGTTGTTCGGCGTATTGTATAGGCAAATTAGGTACATTACTGCAATATTTAATATTTCCAAATTACAACGTTTATAAAATGTTCAACTTTTATATTTAAGGAGTGAAAATTTAAAACAAGGTCCCACGTAAATAGGTTATATATAGATTACTTTATTCACAACAATATCATCAAATATACTTAGTAATATCATAGGCTGACTGACTGTCTTCGCTCAGAAACGTTTTTCTTGTACAATGATATTATTTTATCATTGAATTATATTTATTTATAAAGAAACAATACAAGTCATGATTATTTGCAATTATTGCAGTCCATGCATGCATGACGTGCACTCCGCCAAATATAACAATAACAATTTATCATGATGAACAACAACAAACAACAGATTGTTTGAATCCAAGCACTACGACCTGGCGCCAAAACGTAGACAAAATACCGTAGTCGTCAGCGACGGTGGACCTTACGCACCGAGTGACGTCACCGGGAAGTGGATGCCGATCCAATCTTGCGTCGATGTGAAGAAAAAGGAGGAAAATAATACCCAGTACAGGATTAGTGAAGAAGCTGATAAGTAGGTTTGGAGAGCACAGCGGATGTTGCGCGTGTGCTTTGTTTTTACCGGTCAGTGGTCGTCGCAGGCATCGTTGAGCCGCCAAACCTAGCGATCAGCTTCTTCACTGATCCTGGACCGGGCATTATTATCCTCCTCGCGTTTTCCACTTTTTTCTTCACCCGCGACCCATCTCCGCAAGATTGGATCGGAATCCACGTCCCGGTGACGTCACTCGGTGCGTAAGGTCCACCGTCGCTGACGAGTGACGACTACGGTATTTTGTCTACGTTTTGGCGCCAGGTCGTAGTGCTTGGCTTCAAACAATTTGATTAATTCAGAAACATGTTTCGGCGCCAAGTCGTCGTGGTTGGGCTCAAACATTTTGATTAGGGCGGAAACATTTTTGCCCCTCTTGTCACGAACTTTCAAATCAACTGTTTCAACTGCAGTCATCATAATGGGTACCTAACGGTATATTGCTGAAAACTCACTGTGAAATAATAATGGACTGTTAACAGAATATTGATTAATCTGCGTGATGTAATGAATTAATTATTGGTATGATTGTTGACCGATTGTGTGACGACAAAAAATGTGAAAACGCGATAAATAATTGTACAATATTCAACTGCAGAAATACGCGTCGATATAACGATTCGAGAATGATGAGAGTTTATGACTTGATGTCCGTATTAAAATAATAATTATGTTGGCATGGTATTGTGTACATTGGGCCATATTATTAAAAAAAAAGCAAATAAATAAAAACATTTATTCTCATGCAGATATTTTAGATTCAAACTTAAGATTCTGAGCGGAGCGATGTGGTATGTTTTATTTGTTTCTGTATATATGTAGGTACCTACACGATATAAAGTAGAAAGGAGTTTTCGATATTTACCTTTGAGGGTGGGGTCTGACTTATGATAGCTAATTTGTTTTACTTTAGAGAAGTGAAATGAAATTTGCAATATAAAAATTGAGAATTTTTACGCAAAACCAGTTTTTGACAAAATCGATATAATTTTTATTTTTGTAACTCATTAGATAATAGCTGTAGAGACTTGAGATTTTTACCAAATATTTCATAAACGCTTATACGCGACATGAAATAATTTAGAAAAACATATTTTGGCACTTGCTATTTTGTGAGTTATATCTACACATATAAGTCCAGTGGCGCACACACAAACTAATTATTTATTATTTGTAAATAACATTTATATGCAAATTTTATCGTACGGCCCCATGCCAACTACCAATAATGAGTGAAAATAAATAACGATGGGTGTGAAACAACGGTCAATCGGATTCGGTTTGGGTTTCCCGAACAATTTTTTTAAATTTCTTAGATTTCTTCGGTTTCAGATTTTTAAACCTGCGTATTTGCAAGCTTTCGATTTCAAACGCCGTCGCGCTGAATAATATTAAAATATGAAAACACCGAAGTCATAACTCATAAGCAGTTTTTCGGAAAACTGTTTTTAATGACCCACGGTGGCGTACCTATATTTGTGGAAAACTCAGTAGGTACCGGGAAATCTCGTCTATATTTCTAGACGAACACCATGGTGGGTGGACAGTGTACTTTGTCAACCGACACGCAAAAAGTTACTGAAAAATAAACATCGGTTTTATAGTAATACTATGGTAAATAGACGCGTAGTATTGCTAGCCGAGCTTATTTCGGCGAAAAAATTCCAATAACTGCAGTTAATCGAATCTCGAGTCGGGAAACTGGGCGTGGGCGCTGCGACCACATTTCAACAATATTAATAACAATTTATTAAACAGAGTACAAACCTCGCTTGGCACGTCCTCTAAAAGAAAGACAGACGTCGGCGCACTGTTCCGGGAAGTGGGCGACCTCAGAACTGCGCCACTCCGGGTAAATGGTGTGACGGTTACCAGATTTGTGGTTCATTAGCATAATGTCATAACTGATTTTTAAATTTTAAATTTGATAAATGTTTCAAAAATCGAATTTTAAATGCTTATTGATTATAAAAAAATTGTGCCCATGTATTAAATTTTCCCGCTTTTTGACGTTTGAAATTTTACTCAATAATTTAGGTTACCTATCTTTATATGTCATTATATAATTAATATACTTAGGGCCGATTTCACCAACACAGTTAACCACGGTTAACGCTTAATCGGCTGATAACAGATATTTAACCGGCCAAATTCGGCCGATTAAAACTCCGGTTAACCTTAATCGTGATTAACTGTGTTGGTGAAATCGGCCCTTAGTGTTTAGTAAATGCAATAATAAATAAATAAATAAAATATTAACTATTTTTTTTTAAAATAAAAAAAAATATTTTGTTTATATCGTAGAAAACAATTATTTATTACAAAATATTTGTTTTTTTTTTTTAAATTTATATACCTAGGAGAGTACAGTGCTACAGGAAATATTTATAAATTAACCCGTAATAAATATTAAATTATTTGTAATAGGTACCTACTTTAAAAATAATAATTTTTAATAACATTTTTTTTTTTAAATGCAATAAAAATAATTAGCACATCCTGGTTTAATCGAGTATGTTGGTTGATAGGACAATTAAATAGCTTTAAAATAAAAAATAATTTCGTTAAAGTTTTGAAGATACATAAATAAACGTTTGGGAATTAAAAGGGGCTAAAGTCCTGAATCGGCTGAAATACTCCCCTTTGCACCGTGCCTGATAAGCAAGCTAGTTTGTGAATAAAATGTAACATTTTGGCATGGAAATTCAGTTTGATATTCTTTTGACATAAGTTTGATTTTTATATTTATTGTATTTTAATTTTACATAATATGACATATTTGGATTATTTAGAACAAAGTACAATATTTAAAATAAAACATAATCAAATAAATTGCATTGAAAAAAAAAGAGATTAAGAATGGTATGTTGTACAAAACATTGGATAATTACAAACAAACTAATACTTATGACTATAAGATTGTAACTAGAAGTTTATATATGACTAGACAGATAGACAGGTAACTTATTAGTTATTTAAACTAAATTATATTATAATTTTATTTCCAGATTCTCCGTCCATTTTTTAATTAAGTAACATAATGCATACTCAGCTTATCATTTAAGAGTAAAATATAGATTTTATTAACTCAGTACACAAATAATTTTTGTAATCAAAATTGCTTCGATACAAAAACATTTATTACACAATGAGTACAAAATACTATAAGCAATTAAGATATTAAATTATTATAGGTACATTCAATGCTTATAAATCTAAAATCCTAATTTTTGGTTTGTTTTCACTAGGTATAAATTATTATAAATATCATAATTAAAAAAAAAAAAAAAAATGTTAAACAACAATACATAATCCAATTCATTATAGGATCAATCATTACTTAGAGTTTGAATAAAACTATTTAAATCGTATTCATCATCATAAATTTTGGCATCCCAGAGTTCTGGCAAAGTTTCAAGAACAGATTTCATGGAACCACCTGAAGAATTGGTTCTATTCTTTTCTTTCGATGGATCATCCAATGAGAATAAATCTAATAACTGAGGAGCACAAAATATGTCGATTAATATATTTTGGTATTTTGAAACAAAATGTTCAACATTACTTTATCAGTTCCCATTGTTTGAAGACTTGAATTTTCAGAAGATATTACTGTATTGGCGGTCTTTAGCTTAAACTTCTGAAAACTAAAATGATAAACATAAATATTAAATAATGTGTCAGGCAATGGTTTTAATTTTATCGTTTTAGATACATACTTCATTATTTTTTCTTCTAGTGTTGATCTTGTTATTAAACGGTATACATTTACTACCTTTTTTTGACCAATACGATGTGCTCGATCCATTGCTTGTAGGTCTTTCATAGGACTCCAATCATGTTCTACAAAAATTACCTACAGTAAATAAATATCTTATTAGGTACATACGTTTTAATTTTAAAATAGGTCGTGAATATATCATACAACATACAGTATCTGCTCCAGTTAAATTTAGACCCAACCCTCCAACTTGAGTGGTCATTATAAGAGTATCAATGGACGGATCAACATTAAAACGATTAACAAGTGCATATCGTTGTGACACAGGTACACTACCATCAAGACGAAGGTAACTTACATTTGGCATATGGGCCCTAGTATATAAAATCAATTTTAATAATTAAATAATTAAATATAGAGTTAAAAATAAATAACTTACTTAAAGAGATCATTTTCAATAATATTTAACATAGATTTTAGTTGACAGAATATTAAAGCTCTGTGTTGACTTATCACAGTTTCATTATTACTTACTAATCCAATACCACAATCCATTAAAAGTTGTCTAAAAAAATAATTCATATAATAGAAAGTACATTAACACAAAAATTAATTATTCACTTTAAGGCTGGTAATTTTGCAGCATGTTGAATATCAGTTAGACTAGAATTAGATTCTGAAATTTGCTTAACTATATTAGAATACTGAGGATGTTGTGGAGTAAGTACTAATTTTGGATGATTGCATACATTTTGTAAATAACGTAACGCCTATAAAAAAGATAATTTAATATTAAATGTTTTCATAAATAAATATCTATAATTACCTGAAGAATATTATTTTTATTAGGAGAATTATTAACGGATTTTTCATCAGTTTCAGTTTCCGATAAATGTTTATGTATATGTGTTTTTGAAAAATCTTCATAAAGCTGTTGTTGAATAGGACTCAAATCACAATAGTAATCCTACACATACAATTTTATTTTTTAGTACTATTTTTATTTTATTTCTATTTTTATTTACCTGAGTAATTTTAGCAGGTAAATCACTTAAAACATCTTGTTTCATTCTACGCAAAACAAATGGTAATACTTGACGATGCAAAGCTTCCATTGCTAAAACACCTACGAAAGATTTAATTTATTATAAATAATGCACAAGATATTTTATGATTCTAAATTTGAAGATTTTACTAACCAGTTTCTTGTTCCTTTGATGAACATTTTGCATCACGACTTGCTAAAATTGGTTTGCTATATTTTGCGGCAAATTGTTTTTCTGTGCCCAAAAATCCAGGCATTAAAAAATCAAATAATGACCATAATTCTAAGACACTATTTTGAATTGGTGTGCCAGATAAAACTAAACGATGGTTTGCCTTCAACTGTTTAATTGCTTGACTTGCTTTAGTCTTTCCATTTTTTATAATATGACATTCATCTAATATGCAATAATTGAATTTTATTTTTGAAAAAAATTCAATATCCTTACGTACAATATCATAAGATACTATAAATAAATTATAGTCATCGGCATAAACTCTTAATCTGAAATAACATTTTTCAATTTATTAAAATAAAATTTATTTGTTACTACTTGAATGCTGTATTTAGTTAAATAATACATATTTTGTATTAAAACTATACATTTAATATGTACATTTTGCAATAATAACAATCCAAATAAAAAATTATTTA